GGGGAGACAGGGGGAGGGGGAGGGGGACGTCAAAAGAGGTCACGTCTAGCTGCTGCCTGGGATTATGGCTGTGTATATGTACAGATACAATATTTTTACATGGGTTAGTACACACTGCAGTGGTATTTAACTGTAGTATTTACAGCAGTATTTACGGCAGTACTTCGGTCGGTCATATGATGTACAACCGCCTGAGGCCGAGGCCGTCGTACAGTCAGTCGTACAGTGCTGTGTAAACAATTCACAGAGCTAACGCTTCACCCTGTCCTTCACCTCAGCCTTCATCACAACTACTGAGACTAAATATATAGATATTTGTATATATATTTATATACACAAATATATATTTGTGTATATATATATATATATGTATATATATATATGTATATATATATATGTATATATATATATGTATATATATATACACAAATATATATTTGTGTATATATATACAAATAAATATATATTTGTATATATATTTATATACACAAATATATATTTGTATATATATTGATGTCAAACACCACAGTCAGGGTCCACATGGTCACTTCCTACTTCACACAGTACACATCTGACCCAACCTGGGTTTGTGGCTCTATCTATGGTACCAGAACCTCAGACGGGAGTCGTACCACTGCCCTCTATGGGATGGAGGATGAAATACAAATTCAAATATACAAATTCAAAAGTATTTACACCGACAATACAGCAATACAATCTCTCCAGCAGGTGGCAAGGCAACGTATACCTGTCAAATACATACATACACACATACATACGTACATACATATATGTACATATATATGTACATACATATATATGTACATACACATATATGTACATACATACATATATATGTACATACATACATACACACATACATACGTACATACATATATGTACATATATATGTACATACATATATATGTATATACATACATACACACATACATACGTACATACATACATACATATATATGTACATACATATATATGTATATACATACATACACACATACATACGTACATACATACATACATATATATGTACATACATATGTACATACATATTTCTTCTTCTTCTCTTGTTCTTCTTAGCAGCTACATGTAGAGTAAGAGACATTACTGCCACCTAGTGTCGCTCTTTTCAATGAAAAATAAATACAGTACAGCCAGAGAAAGTCAAGCACCTACACACCTACACACACAACAGCAGCAGCAGCAGCAGCTCCTCCAGATACACCCCCATCCCTCCATATATAAATCTGTATATAATCAAATATATACATATATATATATATAGCACACATGTATGATTGATGGTACGACTGCAGCAGCAATTTACACAAACTGTCTCACACACACACACACACATGGACATGTCAGAGCAAAGGAATGTGAACAATGACTGTGCTGTAAATCACACACACACGTACACACACATATACAGTACATGTACACAGATACAGCCTATATACAGTATGCAGCCCAGTCACATGTACCATCCCGTGTGGTATGTAGGGTGTCACCTTTCTCCCACTGCATGGGTCAGTCCAGGCCAGGACAGGTACGTGTGTGTGTGTGTGTACATACATGTGTTAGTGTGTGGGTCAACAGGTTCCTGTCTGTCTGCACACACACACACACACACACACACACACACACACACACTCACTCAGAGTGAAGGCACATGGCCGTCATGTAGGTCACGCTCCGGGGTCACCGTGTTGTTGTTGTTGTTACGGGACTGACGCGGGGGAAGTACCACAGCGCCACCTAGCTCACCGCAGGTTCCCGCGGTAACATATAGACGGAGCAGCCGTGGAGGTCGCCGCGGCGGCCGGGTTGACGTGAGGACAGCCCTCACCTTGCACGGCCGTCCTCGTGAAGCACGCCACCCACCCACACACACACACACACACACAGACAGACACATATGTCTGAATGTATACACATGCACGGCCGCGCGCGCGCACACGTTCCCACAAACACGTACATATATAGTGTCTTTTCCTGCTCCACTGACACGGTCCACACTGCAGCCCAGCTGGACCAAAACACCAGAACGGACAGGAAAACAAATGCGCCGGGATTCGAACAGTGAACGGCGGGTGTGTGTTTTTATTTTGTTTGTTTTTTTACCGTGTTAAACGGCGTCTCCGTGAGTCTTCTTCCTCTTTTTCTTCCTCCTTCCTCTTCTTCGCGGTCTTCCCGGTGCTGCCTCCACCTTCTAGTCGGCTCTCAGGTTCGTGGAGACGGGAGCGCCGCGTCTGTCCCGGACCGCCACAGCCATGGTCGCGGTGTGCAGAGGAAGTGTTCTGGAGCTCTCCCTGCTCGGTCCTCCTCCCCCTTTGACTGTACAGTACGGGTGAATGCGGGTCAGCAGCAGAGAGGAGCTGCTGCCGCCGCCGACGACTGCTGATGATTCACCACCAGGCTCTATGGCGCCCTCTATCGGCGCGACGGCAGAACTGTCTCAAGAATAGGAGCTGGGCGTTGCATAACAACAGCAGCAGTAACAGTACTACTAGTAGTAGTAGTAGTAGTAGTAGAGTGTCTCCTGTGAAATATACATAAAATACTTCACACTTTACAGTATTGTACACGTGTCAAATGTATCTATCCATTTAGACCGTTGGTTCTCAAACCGTGGTCCACGGTCTACCTGCACTCATGTATGGCAGGATGTGAAGTATTTTCTATTTTGTACTTTTAGCTGATCTGACCTCTGACCTCAGATCAGATCTACTGCTGTATAGATAATAATAACTAGATCAGTAACTAGTTGAACAGATAAACTAACTCTGGTCCTTCAGTCAGTTGGTTTCATGTCAGTATTATTTTATTTGGAGCGACTTCATCACATCGACCGAACGTCGTCTGTTCAAAACAACAGATCCACAAACGAAGGAAAAAGGAATCATTGGTGACATCATCGATCATTAATCCATAACAGAGCCATCAGTGACATCATCGATCATTAATCCATAACTGAACCATCAGTGACATCATCGATCATTAATCCATAACAGAACCATCGGTGACATCATCGATCATTAATCCATAACAGAGCCATCAGTGACATCATCGATCATTAATCCATAACTGAACCATCAGTGACATCATCGATCATTAATCCATTGGTCTCTGATCCTGATGTTGAGCCACAGCTGGGATCATTTTTCTGTCAGTGGGTGCTTTGTTAGAAACACCAGATGGTGGCGCTGTTATTAATCATTGTTGCACCAATCATGTTTGTCACGAGGTCTCTCTCTCTCTCTCTCTCTCTCAGGTGTGTGTGTGTGTTGATCTGCTTTAAAGTAAATCTGAAGGACAGACGACATGTTGACGACCACGTGTTCTCTGTTCTTTTTTTATTGCAATAATACATGTTGAAACAAACCTTCAGACTCACACACACACACACACACACACACTTAACAATAATGGTCAGAACCTCAGACGAGCTGCACAGAAACAAAAGAAACCACCGACTGTATGAACTGTTTACATTCACACACACACACACACACACAAGGAAACACAAACAGCTGTTCAGAGAAGTAAGAACTAAAGGTTTAGTTTTTAATCAACATCCAAAAGTGCAGATTGTTTTTATTTGTTTAACACTGATGATAAACTGAACCGTACCGTACCGAACTGAACCGTACTGAACTGAACTGTACTGAACTGAACTGTACTGAACCGTACCGTCTGAACTGTACTGAACTGAACTGTACTGAACCGTACCGTACTGAACCGTACTGAACTGAACCGTACTGAACCGTACCGAACTGAACTGTACTGAACTGAACCGTACCAAACTGAACTGAACCGTACTGAACTGAACCGTACCGTACTGAACTGAACCGTACCGTACTGAAGTGGACACAGACAGACAGGCCAACGATCCAATATGAACTTCCAGGATCACAGTAACCTGGTTGCAGTAGAACCCATACTGATACAGAGGACCTGGACAGGTACGAGATACTTCATCTGGTCTATGTACACGTACAGATACTACAGTATGTACACAACTGGAAGTGGATACTGCAGTTAAAGGGATGACATTTACACAACAAACTGCTTCTTAGTATTTTTATACGACGACGACACAGTCACTCAGTCACACTCCACCACACAAACAACAACTACATTCAGCTAAAAATCTGCCACAAATACGTCAACGTTGAAGCTAAAACATACAGTAAATATATTTGTCATCTTATTTTTATGCACAAAACAGTTAGTTTTTCTTTTCTTTTTTTTTTCTTTGTTTTTTTTACAGATTTCTACCGTCATATCTTTACAGTTACAGGTTTATAACAGCCGGCTGCTGTGATTGGTCAGCATGTTGACAATGAAGTGAAGTAGGAAGAGGGTGAGACACGGGTGAGGATCGTCCAGTTGAGACATGCTGAGAGGGAGAGAGACACGGGCGCTCTCCTCATCCACCGGAAGTGTTTAGATATTCAGGGGGGGGGGACGACACGAGGGGGGGGGTGAGAGACAGGAGGAAGATCTCTTCATGGTCATCTTGTCCTCGTGTGGTGATGGTTAGGCCCCGCCCTCCTACTCAAAGAAGCTGCGGTCACTGCAGAGAGAAAGAGGGGGGGGCGATGGGGGGTGTCATCGAAGGGTCAGGAGGTCAACATCACACAGTACCACAGAGTATTTGTCTGTTTACTTCCACAGTTACCACTTTTACATTTATTTATTTGATCACATTTTCAGGATTTCCTGAGAAATTATTTTTTCAAAAGAAGTAAAGAAAATAAAACCAGGTGTGAAACACTGCCACCTACCTGCTGTTATTTGGCTTTCTGTTCCAGCAACAGACAGAAAAAAAAGTTTTGTCATACTGAGGAAAGTTGAATCATCTGGATCATTGAATTGATCTTATCACAAACACGACTAATTATGGTGACAATTAATCGTCAGTCAATCAGCTGCTCTGAGTTTTATGGTCAAAAGCAACAAAAGGAAAAACAGAAGCATAAAAAAAGGGGGGGTGCAGATGCAGTGTCAAAGAAAACAATCAACAAATCAAACAAAATGGTCATGATCTTCATCTGTGCTGCTGATGAAGAGGAAGGTTCTGGAAGAAGTTGTCGTCAACTCTCCCCTGACTGACTGTCTGACTGACTGTCTGACTGACTGACTGACAGACTGACTGACTGACTGACTGTCTGTCTGTCTGACTGACTGACTGACTGACTGATTTACTGACTGACTGACTGAATGTCTGATTGACTGACTGATTTACTGACTGTCTGACTGTCTGACTGAGTGACTGTCTGACTGATTGTCTGACTGACTGACAGACTGTCTGACTGACCTAAAATAATCCACTGTCATCTATAATCCCAGCATATATTCATTAACAACCAATCAGAGCTAATCTACTGCAAATACTACTGCAGTACTCTTACCAGAACAGTGTCCCTGAAGAACACACTACATTCTGATCTGCTCTCCCTCATTCAACCTGAAGGTGGCAGAAGAGAGACATCAACATGGAGAAGGCCCTGACCCATAATCTGTGCTAATCTGGTGTGTCCTGGTCCTGGTCACACCGGGGTGTGTGTCGTTGTCGTCGTCGTTGATGTTGTTGTCGTCGTTGTTGTTGTTGTCGTTGTCGTCGTCGTTGTTGTCGTTGTTGTGTTGTTGTTGTCGTTGTTGTTGTTGTCGTTGTCGTCGTCGTTGTTGTCGTTGTTGTGTTGTTGTTGTCGTTGTTGTTGTCGTTGTTGTTGTGTTGTTGTCGTCGTCATTGTTGTCGTCATTGTCATTGTTGTGTCGTTCTTGTCGTTGTTGTCGTTGTGTTGTTGTTGTTGTTGTGTCGTTGTTGTTGTCATTGTGTCATTGTTGTTGTTGTCATTGTGTCGTCATTGTGTCATGTGTCATTGTTGTTGTGTCATTGTTGTGTCGTTGTGTTGTTGTTGTTGTCATTGTTGTTGTCATTGTGTCATTGTTGTTGTCATTGTGTCATTGTTGTTGTGTCATTGTTGTTGTTGTTGTTGTCGTTGTTGTGTCGTTGTTGTTGTTGTCGTTGTTGTCGTCGTCGTTGTTGTGTTGTTGTCGTCATTGTCATTGTTGTGTCGTTGTTGTTGTCGTTGTGTCGTTGTTGTTGTGATTGTTGTTGTGTCGTTGTTGTTGTTGTTGTGTCGTTGTTGTTGTTTGTACAAAGGAAATGCTAACATGGTTTAAAAGGAAGAACTGAAACAAGATGAAAAAAAGAGGTTTTTGATTGAATGAAGAAAAGTGAGGGGTAAATGATGGGGGGGTGAGGGGTGAAGGGGGGGTCAGGTACTCACGCCCCCTCATCTCTGAGCAGAGACAGGAACTTGGTCACTCTGTAGTCCTGGTCCATCTAGGAAGAGCAGAGTGGACATGTGACCAACAGTGAAGAAGACACAGGGGTCACAGAGGTCACGCTGACCCTGAGGGTTNNTCAGCGTGACCTCTGTGACCCCTGTGTTTGCTTGGACGACATTTGTTGGGCGTCGTACCTGCAGCGACATCTCGATGAGGACCAGGAGTTTCTTTATTCCGATCCAGACTCTCTTCCCTTTGAGCTGCTGTGAGATCCTGGCTCGTTCTTTATCTGTGAAGCTGCCCAGGAGCTGCAGGGGACAGGGGACAGGTCAGAGGTCAAGGTGGTTAAAGACACCCCTGCAGCCACTGGTTAGGTCTGTGTGACTCTGAACAACATGAATCAAACCCCAGTTTTTAGTGTTAATGACGGCAAAGATTCCAGAGCGAGGAACGGCTTCAGACTTTAACACCGTAAGAAGTTTGATGACATCAGAAAAAAAAAAGAAAAAACCACAACGTGTGTGTGTGTGTGTGTACCTCCAGGGCATCGACCAGCTGTTCTCCAGTAGAAATGTTGGGGACGTGGATGGTGGTGCTGAAGGCGTCCAACATCTCCATCTCCTGCAGCACGTCCTTCCTGCTGGTGGTGCCGATGATGAGCAGCAAACCACAACGTGGCGCGCACACACACACACACACGCACACACACACGCACACACACACACACAGGTCAGTCACTCGGCGTGACGACCAGTGCAGACCATCACACATGTACATGGGTTGTCCTCTAGGGGCAGCCAAAGCCGCTGTCCCACCTTGGGCGGGGGCTTCTTCAGGAGGACCAGCAGAGCCTGAAGGACCAGGTTGGAGAAGCGTGGACCGATGGGGACGTAGTCCAGCAGACGTTCGATGTCGTCCACCACCACACAGCTGAGCTGGGACTTGTAGGCGTCGTCAAAGAACTGGAACAGAGGCGGGGGGGGGGGGTTGGGGGGGGGGGGGCGG